GCTGTTGTTGGCGTCGATATGTACATCCAGAAAATTGATGGTTTTGTCAGTGGCTATTTCGTGGGTGAATTTAAGCACAGACCTGTCCTGTGGGTTTTGCCGGCGCTTCATTAATTCAGCAGTGTCCTTGGTAACGATGAAGCACAGTCGTCGACGTATCTGAAGTACAGTGCGGGGTGGTGGTCCTGCAGCACTTTGTTTTCTATGTGACACATGTAAAAATTGGCGAAGGTTACTCCAAGAGGAGAGCCCATGGCAACTCCGTCGACTTGCTGGTATAGCGAACCATTGATATGTTGAAAAGGTGACTTTGTAGTGCAGGCGAGTAGAAGTTCACGCATTATTTCTTCAGGTATTTTGGGTGGAGACATGGTCGGGTGTCTGTAAACGTTGTCACAGATTATATCACTAGTTAGACTTCACTTGGAATACAGTATTGGAAATGGTTCAGAGAAGGGCTACCATCATGATTACAAGGATGTATCATCTTATAGGGATAGGTTAAGATTTCTCTCAAGAAAAGGGTTTGTTTGTTGTTAAGCGCAAAGGGCTGTCTGTGATGTGCCCACCTCAAGTACCAGAACCCAGTTTTTAGCATTATAAGCTTCCAGACAGACTTATTGTTGAGCCATTAAAGGAGGAAGAGGAGTTCTCATCAAAAGAAGTAATCTTATTTAAGCTTCACATAATTTAAGTAAATGCCTCTTAATTCTTTCTTCTGCATTCTGAAGTTAGTAGAATGGAAGGATATATATTTAATATTTAGTAAAGACAAGTTCTATATTTCTAATGTGATGACTAGCTTACAGAATGGAATAAGTTGCCATGAGCAAGTGTGAAGGACAGCACCGTAAAAGCATTTAAGTGGTGGGTTTAAAGTTTTACTTTTCTCAAGGGTGGATGTGCAAGGACTACTTTGAAGGAACAAATGATTACTTGTATTATATTTTATGGAAAAGTACAGTCAAGTAGGTTAATGAATCTTCCTCTTTCTTTTTTTTTTACCTAAGTTATTGTGTTATATATTACAATCACAATAATTATATACTGATAATATCACTGGAACAATTTTCATTCTTGTCCATTAATAGAAGGCTGTAAAAATTATATAAAATATGTCATGAAATGTTACTAGTTTAAGAGCATAATTGTACTATGAACCAGAGAAACACTGTCAAGAGAAGTAAGGCAAATGAATAAAGCATTCACATATGCAATAGCTTGGTTGGGAAATGCAGATGTTTGGTTGTTTTGAAATGACAGTATAATAAACACTTTGATTGGATGCAAATATGAAGTTGTTTCTAACCATTGTTACGCATCAATCAGGAAGATAGTCTGATAAGCATCTCTATTATATAATTGTTAGATATACAGAATTGTTTCATTTAAATTTAATATGAGATTTATGATTTTGATAGTTATATAGCACGAGTGTTACATTTAGTATTTTTAGAAGCAATAATGTATTGCAGGTTTGTTTACTTAACTGTGTACAAACCATACATTGTATAGTTCACTAGTTGGTGACTGTTATATTGTTGCAAACTCGTGTCATGCTACTCGAACCTTCCGAATTTTTCTTGTTGCTTTGAGTGAATATTATTACATCATAACATCTCATAGTTTGTAGAAAGTTCTAGGCCTCAGCCAGGTAGTATTATATATACATAGATGACCAAATTGGTGCAAGTTAGTGAAAAAAAAAGTGAAGTTAGACTGCATGATTGTGAGTTTAGCCATAAAAAGCATATAGTGGCAATTACTAAAGTGAGTTTCGCAGCTTGTATTGTAATAATAGAGGATAATAATTTATGTTGTCAGTTTAATTCTAAAGTAACTGAATTAGCCTATGTGGACTTAAATAATTATTTGAAGCTCTCGATACAACTGTGGTAACCTACAAGGTAACATAAGAGAGTTTATCACAGATTGTATTGTGATAGTAGAATACAGAAGAATAATTCATCTTGACATTTGGGTTCTAAAGTAACTGAACCAGGTTGTGTGGACTTTTCACAAAAAGAGACAATTATTTAAAGCTCTGAATACAACTCAGGTGATTAACCATGTAACAAACATTTGTATATACATTTGACTTGTTTTTAATATATTATTTTAAAACAAGTGGATTGTGTGTTGTCTGTTTATTGTTGAAATTTATCACCAATAAGTCACAGACACCTACTGTAAAGAGTCTAACCCATACAAAATCTGACGATAACAGTTGGGCAATACCTCTTTTTACTGGTATAAAAGCCTAGGATGACAGTGTGGCAACAACTCTGTTGGCTGAAAGTGGAAAAATATTTTTTATATTGATCACAAAAGATCAGTTGTCAGATTCATTGATGTGTACTAAATAAATATAGTGCAGTATTGATTAAACATATAATTAACACCTTCCCCTCACAATTAGGTTGCATATGATGGGCAGATTCATCAGGCAAGTATCAAAAGATCTTTAAGGATTCAAAACAGCAATTACTCAAGTAGTAGTTTCACTGGTAGTAGAGTGCTGCATAGCAACTATAATGGGTTCTTAAGGGGAGGCTCAATAGGTAGATTGTGCATCAGACCAGACCAAGCTAGTTATACAATTGGATACAAATATACTTAGCTAAGGAGTTAGGCACAGTTGGCCTAAGTAAGCTATAGATTCAGTTCTTCCTTCAGTAGCTTCTCTATTTATCTTAGTGTTAAGCATGATATTTTATCTGAAACTACATGCAAGTAATAAATCTTACAAATAAGTTATTTTTGTAATAGTTAAATGTTCTATGGATTTTTATAAATGTTCCTTTTGAATGTGGATCCTGACTTTGCCTCCCTAGTTCTTACAAACTTCTTTGCATTTGTGACCTAAAAAAAAATGCCACTGATTGCATATTTCTGGTATTTTAAATAACTTTTTTGTAACAGGTTCATGACTCAACAAGAAAACAATCTATCACAACTTGAGTCAATAACCTGTTTAAGACTGTATCAGTTCAAGCAAATAACTCTTGTTCCTGATTTAATAGGAAAGCCCATATTTTTACCAACGAAACACAAATATAGACATAAGAAACATCATGGATGATCCTATCTGAAATTGTATCCTAGCCTTAGTGTCACGTTTTTATAGAGCCAGATTCTTTACAGTAGGTGTTTGTGACTTGTTGGTGAGAAAGTTCAACAATAAACTGACAGCACACAATCCACTTGTTTTAAAATAATATACTCAAAGCAAGTCAAATGTATTTACAAAAATTTGTCACATTATTGGTTGCCATAGTTGTATCCAGAGCGTTAAATAATTGTCTCTTTTAATCAAAAGTCCACACAGGTTGGTTCAATTACTTAAGAACACCATTTGACAAGACAAATTCTTCTATACTCTGTTGTTACAACACAATCTGCAATAATTTCACTTTAAAAAAGTGCCACTATATGCTCTTTACAGCTAAACAATCACAGAGTCTAACTTCACATTTACTTTCACTAAGTTAACTTGCTCTCTGTATTTGCATGTATTTATAACATACAATAGAAAAATTTAGAAATATCTAGCCATCTAGTCACAACAATATTAAACATAACGAGAAAACTTAGAATCTTGAGTAAGATGATGTCAACAATATTACAAAAGCCTAGTACAACAATTAAACTACATACACCACGTATGACTCATACAGTTATGTACTGAAACTTGTCATAACCATAGCTCTAAAAATAATTAACTTTTAACCCTCTTGTTTTGAAAAATAAAGTCGCTAAACATTAAATCACTAAATAATAACTATCAAACTAAACAGTCTTGTATATCCAACAGTTAGGAACTCATTCATCTCCAACTTTACTTGCAATTCATACACCTTTTTACATACATAAAACAAATTTGGTAAAATGCAATAAAAACAATTAATCATAAAAATACACTAATATTTTCACATCAAACAATTCTTGCACAACTAGCCCTAATGAAGCTGCAATGGTGAAACATTGACAGAAATATTATATTACAAGTTACAGCTTTTACAGTTCCCGTGAATTTATATGCACAATTAACCACAATCAATTCTAGAATTTAAATACATTGTTAGATTGTTGAATGTTACTATAAAAACTAAAATGTTCTTTACCATTAAAACCTGTGCATTTGAGAATGATCACACAAGTGATCAAAATGTTGTACCTGTTCTATAAACAAATCTTACTTACTGTAAAAGCTGTAACTTATAATATAGTGTAATTAATCAGTAAGTAAACTTAAAATAAAACTATTGGCAGAAATAGCTTGTTCTATTATCATCTGGAGAGTAAAGGTAGTTCTTTTTCTAAATTTAATGCCAAAAAGTCCCCCCAGTATGCATTACAAATTCTGAAAAACAAAATACTTTTGTTGAAGATTTTTATTAATGATTTTATGGCATCTTAGATTATTTTAAAACTTTCCTATAATATTATTTTATAAAACTATAAACTTTATCTTTGTTTGATTTAAAAAACAAACAATGTACACATGCAGTTTCACTATGTTTAATATACTGGCATACAAGAAAACGTTTTGACCATACCCAAATTATAGACAAAGTAACTTCAGTTTTAAATTATTAAGCAAAATGCTTCACTTAATATATGTAATAAGTTTTCAACCCATTTGATATATATATATATATATATATATATATATATATTTACTATTTATTTTACTAGTTAATTTTCT